TACCTACAGGCTCCGACCTCAGCAGCGGCTGCAGCCCTGGCCCCCGAGCTCAGCACTCCGTGCAGACACCAGTCTTCCCCGTGTTAGCATTTCCCGCAGGCTCTCACTCCAACCTTAGCGTTCCCAGTAGACCCGACCTCCCAACCGCGACACTTCCTGAATTTCTCACCCCAGCCTCAGCACCACTTGGACAACCTCACCCCGAGCCCCAGCCTCGGTTCTTGCTGCAGACCTCCAACCTCAATATTTCTGCAGCCCGTCAGTCCTCTCCCAGGCCCCTCCTCACCATTTCCAGACCCTTCCGGAGCACCGCCTTCATTTTAGACATCCTTGCCCTCGCAGCCGCACTCGCCCCTCCTGCTGAGCCCCTGGAGCCTCCGCGGGCACCTTCTCCTCCCTCCTCACCTGCCACATCCTCACTCACAAAGCTCACCCACCTACCTTCACCCTGAATCCCTTTCTTTGCATATTCAGACGCTGCCTTCACCTCCCGGGAGGCATTTCCTGGCTTAGGGAAGAGTGCCGCATCCTCCCCCTGACCCCTGACCTCCTTCCCCTAGGCACCTACGGAACAGTGTTCAAGGCCAAAAACCGGGAGACTCATGAGATCGTGGCTCTGAAACGGGTGAGGCTGGATGACGATGATGAGGTAGGACTGGGGACTGAGATAGGGCCTGGAGAGGGGGTTGAGGGCCTGGGCTGGGTGGGATCTGACTGCTGCCCACCCGGCCCCCTCACATATGCAGGGTGTGCCGAGTTCTGCCCTCCGGGAGATCTGCCTACTCAAGGAGCTCAAGCACAAGAACATCGTCAGGTGTGCGGGAGGCGGGTGCTCCTTGCCGGTGTGGCCGCTTGGGGGAGGCGGGGGCTGACACTGGCGGACCTGTCAGGCGGACCTGCATGGCTGAGCCCTTCTTTTGCCCTAGGCTTCATGATGTCCTGCACAGTGACAAGAAGCTGACTTTGGTTTTTGAATTCTGTGACCAGGTGAAAGGCGGGGTTTGGGGGACAGTAGCCTTGGGAAGGTATAGGGGCCCAGACTGAGGTTAAACTCTGTCCCATTCCCCCACTCATATCCCTTTTCAGGACCTGAAGAAGTATTTTGATAGTTGCAATGGTGACCTTGATCCTGAGATTGTAAAGGTGAGGAGAGTGGTGTTGGGGGACCCCTCAGGCTGGGGTCAGAGTCTGCATTCAGTGTAAGCACTCCTTGGGCTCTAACTTTGGGCCCTGAACAGGGACGCTCTGGGATGTCAGAGAATGAGAAAACCCTGTTTCTGCCCTCTAGGAGCCTCCAGTCTTAGCAAACATTTTCACGTGGTCGTCTTTGACCCACACAGTGGCACTCTGACGTCAGTGATAGTATTTACATTCAGAGATGAGAAAATGAGGTTCAAGGAGATACACTCATTCATTCAATACATACTTACTGAATGCTTCACTGTGTGCCAGGTGCTCTTCTAGGCCCAAGACCAAATGCCTTGGTCCAGGTTCCAGGGGAGCCAGTCCTGAATGATACTACAGCATGATATTTATGTGCTGTAGTATCGTGTGCATACTCAGATGCCGCCAGGAAGGGAAGATCAGCATGGGCTAGGATCTAGGCGGGATCTAGGATCCACCTGGCAAGGCCCATTAGGCTATATGGTCCAGGAAGATGGGGACCAGGGCCAGTTTCTTCACTCTTGTCCCTCTAATGCCTAGTACAGTATAAAGCAGGTTCTGGATGGCGAATGAATGGTGTCACTCTGAACCAAGTGCTGAAAGGTGGGTGGGGTGGAGTGAAGCACAGGGTGAGGAGAGGAGCCACCCATTGCTGGGCACAGTTGCATGTTCAGGGCGTCTGACTCCCTTCTGCCTGCTCTCCTCCCAGTCATTCCTCTTCCAGCTACTGAAAGGCCTGGGATTCTGTCATAGCCGCAATGTGCTACACAGGGACCTGAAGCCCCAGAACCTGCTAATAAACAGGGTACTTCTTGGGAAGAAGGTGGGGAGTGGGAAGCCTGGGGCCAGGGCATGGGGAGCACGGAGGGAAGAGGACTGGGAGGATGGAGTCTGTGCTGTCCCAAGGCTGCTTAAAGGCCCTTCTCCATGTCCCCTTCCCATTCCCCTCAGAATGGGGAGCTGAAATTGGCTGATTTCGGCCTGGCTCGAGCCTTTGGGATCCCTGTCCGCTGTTACTCAGCTGAGGTGAGCTAGGAGATGGGATATGGGATTGGGGGAGGGAGTCCCTCAGCTCCAACCCCAGGACCCAAAACACTATTTTCCTCTCCTCTCTGAGCCTCCTCCTCAAACCTCCTCCCCAGCCCTCTAAGTGGGAGTCCCCTGTCGGGGGGCGGTCTCCTCCAGGTGGTCACACTGTGGTACCGCCCACCGGATGTCCTCTTCGGGGCCAAGCTGTACTCCACGTCCATCGACATGTGGTCAGCCGGCTGCATCTTTGCAGGTGACGTGCTGGGGCGCTCCAGAGGCACCTTCTTTCCCATTTGGGTTGACAAATAGGGTCTGGAGGGTTCCCTCTAGGGGAAGGGAGGGAGGCTCTGGGACTGGGGCTGGAAGGTCAGGGGGCACCTCAGAGTGAGGGGTCCTTCACATGTCACATCTTATCCCCCTATCTGCCCCCCAGAGCTGGCCAATGCTGGGCGGCCTCTTTTTCCCGGCAATGATGTTGATGACCAGTTGAAGAGGATCTTCCGATATCCTTGTTTTCCTCTGCCTTGAGCCCTCTGGGAGGGGACAGCCCATGGAGTTTTGAGTGCAGTGGGTGAGGGCAGTGATGGTGTGGGGTGGGGTGTTGGGGTCTGTAGGGCTTCTCTTGAGGGCAAGGGGAGACAGCAGAGGTGCTGGACACCCTGATTGTCACAGTGCAGATACACACTGGAGAAGGTATGGCTTGGAGACAGGCAGTGTGCCCTGGGGGGCAAAGCCAAGAGGGTGTCCCTCCAGGTGAGAGATGGATGCCAGGATGAAGGAGCCAAAGACAGCAGGACACATTTTGTGGGAGCGGGGCAAGGACCAGTTCATTAGGACTAGGACAGCAGATGTGGGTTAGACTAGTTAGTGATTGTCATGGGAAACGTGGTTGGATGTACGAGTGACGTGCCCGGGGTTGCTTCTGTCAAGCTCAAGCCAGAGGGTAAAGGGAGGGTGAGAGAAGTAGGTGGTGGGTATGAGGAATCCTCCCCGGGAGGGGAAGAGGCCCTCACCCTGCCCCTGAAGATGCAGCTGTGGCCCTTTCCCAAGTGATCCTTGACTCCGTGGACACGCTGCTGGGGACGCCCACTGAGGAGCAGTGGCCCTCTATGACCAAGCTGCCAGACTATAAGGTGTGATGGGGAATTGGGGGGTCATGGTTCATCAGGGTCACTCTTGTTTCACATTCCTAGCAGCCTCCACCCCCCTCCCCCTACCTCTAGTCTGACCCTCCCTGCCTTTCCACAGCCCTACCCGATGTACCCGGCCACAACATCCCTGGTGAACGTCGTGCCCAAACTCAATGCCACGGGGAGGGACCTGCTGCAGGTAGGTGACTTGGGGTAGAGGGTGGGTCAGGACACTTGCCCAGAGGGGACTACAGGAAGGCAGGGCTCTGGGCAGTGACCTGTCCTGAACCTGCCGCCTCCTTTCCCCCATCTCCAGAACCTTCTGAAGTGTAACCCTGTCCAGCGTATCTCAGCAGAAGAGGCCCTGCAGCACCCCTACTTCTCCGACTTCTGCCCGCCCTAGGCCCCAGGATCCCCGGCCTCCAGGCTGGGGCCTGGCCTATTTAAGCCCCCTCTTGGGAGGGGCAAGATGGTGGGGGTGCCCCGTGCACTGTGCTCCAGCTGTGCTGGGCCCAGCTGGGGTGGGGTGCCTGAGCCTAAGTTTCTCACTCCCTTTGTGGACTTTATTTAATTTCATAAATTGGCTCCTTTCCCACAGTCTGGCTGATGTGGTGGTCAAGTGGCTCTACAGGGGCCATGAGCTGGAGAGGTCTCTGCTCTGTTACTGCTGGCCGCAACCCTGCTTCTGGCTCAAAGACAGCACCTTGCTCTTCTACTTTAAGAGGCCATGACCCTCACCCCTCACCCCTGGGACAGGGCAGCACTGTCACTGCACACCCCTCCCTCCCACCTTCCCTCCCTCTGCCCAGGAGGGCCTGACATGGTCCCTTGGAGTGAGGGGGCCAGTATCTAAGAGCAAGAATGGGCTCCCTGCCAGGGTGGGGAGGAAAGGGCTGGGCCTGTCCTTGTGGTTCTCCATATCTCAGGTGGATCCTCTTGTCCCTTCCCTCATCATCCCCCCATACCCAGGCCTGCAGGCTGACACAGGAGAGCCCGAAAGATATGGTTCCATCAGGAACACCCCTTCCCACTCCCTATTTGTCAGCTTCCCAATGTTTGGGGTACAGTGAAAGAGAGGGAAGTTGGGCCTATGGCTGGGGCCTGGTGTGTCCTTATTGGCAGGAAGGGGAAGGGAGAGCTCCCCCAACCCTCACCCCCACCCCCACCCCCACCATCTCAAGCCTTAGGCCTTTAGCTCTTGTGGGGAGGCTGGGAGACAGAACTTGTTGGTATGGAGACAGGCTGTGTGCCACACTTGGTCCCAAATGTGGGAAAGGAGTCAGGATATAAGGCAGGACACAGGTGGTCTTGAAAGTGGAGTCACTCCCTGTCTTCTCGCTGCCTCTTCTTGCTGGGCTCTGGGCAGAGCTCTCTTCCAGTTATACCTTTATTGCTGACTGTGATTCTGCGCTCACACCTAAGCCTGGGCTTGGAAGATACCTGTCCTCCCTTCTCTCTAAGATGTCAGTCGGCTAAACTCACTCACACTGAGCTGCAAAGGACTGATAACCTCTTGCTACCATTCTTCCCTAGAGATTCATGGGGGTTCATGGGCCCAGCTCCACATTTCAGAAGCCACCTCCAGCTGGATGATGGCTGGCAGAGGACTTCCGATGCCTGAGTTGGGCTGACCTTGGCTTGGCTAGTCTCTGCCCTGTAAGAGAAACACCTGAGGCTGATGCATTAGGACTTTATTTGGGGTGAAGATGGAAAAGCTACGTGCAGGCTAGGCATGTCCAGGATGTCAGGGTGCGGCTCTGAGGACACAGACAGCAGGCCTAGAGCCGTGTGACAAGGTAGCAGGTGCGGTGGGAGGCGGAGAGAGTCTTGGTGACAGCACAAGGAGGGGTGGGAGGTCTTCGGAACAGAGCAGAGGGCTGGGTGGGAACCAGCACACCCACTGCCCTGCGCCTGTTCCTGCCCTCCCTTGATTTTAGGGGGCCACTATGTGTTACCTGGGGCCCAGGCTGAGGTGGGGAACTTGGGTTCGATGGCTGCCCAGCCCTTCCTGAAGCTGTGGGAGGAGGAGAGGGTCAGAGGTGGGGAGTGGTCCTCCTCCCAGGGACCAGTCAAGGTCACTGCACACCCTCCTGCCTGTTTCTCCTCAGCTGGGGTGGGATGGTGTTCTAGGCTTCAGGGGTGGGGCCCAGAACCCTTGGAGCTGGCAGGGGCTCCAGAAGAGGGGCTGTTACCAGATTGGTGCTGGAATGCCTTTGGGAGTGCCTTCGGTTCCAGAAATATCCCAGGACCTTGTCTCGGAACACCTGGAGGCAAGCAGGATGGGAGGTGGCAGTGTACGCCTTCCCCCTCATCCTAGGGGCCCTGATTCCCACCTCCCACCCCCTGCAGTGGGGGCCCTGGCCCACCTCACAGAGGTAGTCTAGGATCTCGAGGATGGTGAGCAGGCTGGCCCCGATGAACAGCCCCATCTGGCCCCCAATGTCGCCTGTGGAGACAGGGTCACCCTTCAACTCACAGCCACCTGCCTGCCCACACCTCCCCAGCCCTGGGGGCCCTGCACACACACCAAGCAGCTCCGACATCTCATAGGCCTTCTTCTGTTCCACGGTCTCGTAGTTGAGGGCCTCGAAGAAGATGTCCAGGGCCAGCACATTCTCCCTGAGGACAAGAAAGGCCTCAAATGTGTATTGGCCACCGCCTGGTGCCCACTGCTGGCAAGAAGCAGCTGTGGGTTCTCCCACTCCTTTCAAGAATCCTGGGAGGGGCCAGGCACGGTGGCTTACACCTGTACTCCCAGCACTTTGGGAGGATGAGGAGGGAGGATCTTGAGGCCAGGAGTTTGAGACCAGCCTAGGCAATATAGCGAGACCCCCTCCCCCCATCCCCTGCCATCTCCATTTTTTAAAAGTAAAGATTAAAAAAGGAAAGGAAAAAAAGGTCCCTGGGAGGGGGCGTCAGCATCCCCCGGGGGGCAGAAAGGTTAAGCAACCAGCACGGAGCCCCAGAGCCAGTGAGGCTGCGGAGGCTGCCTCCGCCCGCGCTGTGCGCATGAGAGCTCCGGCTTGCCCCGCTCCGCCCCGTCGGGAGCCCCCGGCTCGGAGGAGCCCGCCCGCCCCGCACAGCTCACGCGATGTAGGCCTCGCTGCGGTTGAGCTTCCGGGCCAGGAAGCGCGCGGCGGCGCGGCTCGGGATCCGCACCATGGAGAGCTCCTTGGCGTAGCGCGTGCTGGCGCACGGGTTGGGGCAGGCGCATGAGTCCTTGCGAAGCATGGCATCTGCGGGCCACCGGGCCGCGTCAGCCGCCAGCTGGGCGGAGCGGGGCGGACGGGAGGTGGGGGAGCCTTGCCCTTACCTATGGCCGGGTGGGCACAGTTCTTGTACTGCTGGGGGCTGCACACTGGCGCGTCGCCTGCGGGTGCGGGGGAGATGGCTTCAGGAGCAGCCCCAGCTCTCTGGGCCCTGCCCACCATAGGACGAAGACCCCAGCCCCTCACCTGGCATGTACATCATTCGGCAGCCGCACTTCCGAGCCACGTAGCGGGTTTCGCAGGCCAGGCGACACCCCATTAGGGTATAGGGAAGGCTGGGGCTGGGGGAGCTCAGGGGATCAGAGGGCTCTGGCTCATAGTTGGGGTTCAGAGATGCTGAACTGCAGTCGCCCCAAGGCGGTGGCAGGAAGCTCAGCTGTGGGGGGACAGGGTTAAGGAGACTTCCCAGAGAGCGTGAGAGGTCAGCTGGGGAGAGGCCCCTGGACAGGTCTGAGGAGCTGAGGGTTTAGGGCCCGTGGTGGTGTGGGCTTGAATAATGGGTGTAGAGGCACATGGGAGGGTACCTGCTGCTGCTGGCAAGAAACAAAGGTCTGGTAGCCCGGGGACACCCCCAAGCCCAGCTGGTCGATGATGGGCGGCTCCTCCTGGCTGTGGATCTGCACTCGGATCCCCACCTCAAAGGGGGTCTCCTCTGTCGGAGACGGACCTATGAGGCCTGAGACCCTGTGGTCAGGTCTCCTGCCCAACCAGACAAGACCTCTCACTGCAGCCCCCTCTCCCCAGGACAGGGATGAACCAGCCCAGCCCCTTTCGCAGGTTCTGGGGGAACACCCTGATGCCTCCTCTCCTCCTCTCCTTCCCCTAGCCTTTTGCACCCCATCCATGCCCTCCCCCAGCCTCATTCATGTGCTCCCTACCGTTGTCCCTCCACACAGGTAGATATTCCTCCTGCTGCACGTCCAGCATGATGTCCAGCCCATTGCCCATGCCACCCCTAGTAGTGGTGAGCAGCTCTGCCCCATCGGCACCAGAGTTAAATGTGTAGCACTTTCCCATCCGTGTGAAGATCTGGGGCGGGCAGACAGGGTGATGGCCATCTCCCCCAGGCAAGCACATGGTCATGGGACCTCTCCCCACCTCATGGTATGTTTACGTCTCTTCTTTGAACACTGAAGCCCACATCTCAATGCCCCCAGCCCCACGCTCCACGTGGGCACATGTTGCAGGACGCTCTTGGGAGCCCATCGACCCAACTCCTCCTCCCCGCCAGTCCCCACCAAAGCCCAGGGCACAGCCTCCAGGTTTTCCGTGTTTCTCTGGAGACTGGGAGAAAGGAAACGGGCCCCTGTGGCTGTCCTCCAGGGCTGGCAGTATGTTGAAAAGGTAGAGGGAAAGCAAGACCCCCTCCTGGCAGAGACAGGGGTCTTCTGCCCCAGAATGGTCCCACCAGGGAGGACCTCCAGCCCCAGTAGCAGGGCCACCATGGGCCAGACCTCAGGCCTAGGGCCAGCCAGGGTCAGTGTGGCCTCACATGCTCCCCCCGGGCTGGGAAACAGAGACAGCCCCAAGGAGGACAGCTTCCTGGGCTGCACGGAGTGGCATTGGGGGGTGGGGAGTCCGTGGCTGGTAGGAAGGAAGAAGTCCCCTGGCTTTGGGGGAGTCTACACTGGCTAGGGGATTGTGGGTGCTGGGCAGGAACGGCTCGGCTCTCTGGGTCCCTGGCAGGACAGGTAGGGAGGTCAGCTCACCATGGTGAAGTTCTCAGGCCCACAAGGTTCGCCACGGAAGCGACAGTCCAGCAGCATGTCGTCCAGGGAGTGCCCAGCACGGGCATAGAGTTGCGCCATGTCAAAGGTGGGACTGGGCATGAAGCCGGGCGGTGCGGGGGGCCGGCCCAGGGCACGCAGGAAGGCGGGGTGCTCTGCGGGATCCAGGCCCAGCAGCGCAGACCCAGCCCAGTGCAGGTCGTTGGGCGTTAGGCGCGAGCGGCGCAGCGGGTTGATGTTGCACAGGGTAACGGCCGGGAAGACGAGCCGGTGGCTTTCTCGCTCATCCAGGGCAGTCTGGTGGTGGAATTCCCTGTAGTAGCGCACTCTCTCAGCCACCTGGTAGAGGAAGGTGGCCACTGACAGGACCACGGCTGCTGCCCACATCCCCCGGCGCAGGCTCAGGCTGCCTGGCCCGAAGACGTGGCCCAGCCCATGCATCGAGCAGTTGCTGGCAAACACGCGGATGTCGGAGGCCGGCCGCCGGGCCTCCTCTGGGCCTGAGGTGGGCTTCATGGCCAGAACCCAGGAGGGGGGCCAGCTACAGAGGCTTGAAAGGAGCGAGAGAGGGTCAGTCAGGGGGCTGAGGGGGCTAAGATAGGATTCAGGGGGCCAGGCAAGGAGAAGAAAGGAGAGGGTAGGAGAGAGCCAAGGTTGGGAGGCAGGGAGGCACTAGCCTGACAGGATTGGAGGAGGTAACCTGGCCGGTCAGGTCCCACTCAACCTTCCCGAGGAACAGGCGGTGGCTCCACTGGGCTAGACACTGGGCTGGGGACTCCGCAGCAGACCAGGTGGGGCACAGCTGACCGTGGCAGGCAGGGGCTGCGGAGCGGTGCTGAGGTGGTGCTGAGCCGGCGCCGCTGCAGAGGATTGGGTTTCAGCAGTGAGGGAGGAAAGGGGGCCGGCAGAGCAGTCTGGGGGGGTAGGGGAGGTCCCTGGGGCCCCAGGCTGAGCCATTAGTGCAGCGTGGAGGGGGGCATGGCTGTCCAAGACGAGAGCTGCCAGGAGGAAATCATAGTGATCCCAGGGAAAGCTCGAGGGAAGTCCAGGGGTAAATTGAGCCTAGAGGTGCCTTGGAGGCCCCCTAGGCTCCGAGTTGCAGCCCCTGTACACCGGCCCCGAGGGTCGGTCGCTGACCCCTGGCCTAGCTCCTCCCTCCTTTTGCCTCTCCGGCCTTCCCTCTAGCTTTACCCAGGATCATCTGTTCCTTCCCAAAGACCAGAGCTGGCTCTTGGCCAAACTTGGAAGTGGTTGGAAGGTTGGCATCGGCCAATCTCTTCTTTCTGTGCCCCCACCATCTCAGCCTACACTGGATGGCCAGGGCACTCTTCACGTCCCACTTCCAGGGCCCGTCTGTTTCCTAAGTGTCCCTCTCTCCCTAGGGAGTCAGAGCCTACCTCCCCACACTTAGGCCCTCCTGTTGAGGATGTTGGCCTCTACAATGGTTATGGGCTCACCTGCCACCCCACATAGAACATGGGTGCCCCACCTGCCACCGTCCTGGGTACCACGGATGCCCACCTGCCACCCTCCCGGGTACAACATGGGTATTCTGTGATTTCTCATTTTACACTGCTATATCCAGGACCTGGAAAACCTTCATTTTTCCAAAGGGCTGCATACCACCCAGTATGTGCACACACCAGTTTATTGAATGACTGCCCCACTGATGCACTGGGGGTCTCCAGTCTTTCCATTACAAACAATGTTGCCGTATCATCACACAGATGTGAACTCCCAGGATGACTGCTGGGCCAAGAGACCGCTGGGTTGGTAATCTGATAGATGACACCGAATTTCCCCCACAGGAGACATGCCATTGTGCACTTCCACCAGTAATGTGGGAGCAGGCCTGCTTTGCATGGGGCTTTTCTAGAGTCACTGTGTCCATGGTGTGAGACAGCGAGCCTGCAGAGGGCAGAGCCAGCGTATTATCTGACCTAAGATGCTTCCAATGATCCAGGGGAGAAGGTAACGGGTTGGGGGTGGGGGCAGGCTCCCAGAGGGTGGGCAGAGACCTCCAGGAGGCCGTGTTACGTAGTGCAAGCTAGTGCCAGCTGACCTGAAGTGGGATGAGGACACCGTGCTGATCCATGGTCCTGGAGATGAGGTGCTGCCCAGCTCAGGGCCACAGGGGCCAGCCCAGGAACACCTGAGGTTCCAGGAGGAAGCCCTGGACCTGGGGAGGAGAGCCAGGCAGTCCTCATCAGTGTCACACTCTGCATTTGGCTAAATAGTCATCTGCCCCCATGTATCTGGGAGTGAGGTGACATTCCTTGTAGACCTGTAGGAAAGCCGGCTCATCTCCATCAATTTACTAAAATTTATTTCTGTTCTATCTATCTTTGCCCAAAAAAGCACCTGAGGTCGCCAGGCTGACTTTGGTGGGCTTTTTTTGACCATGAGTGGTAGAAACATGGTTCCACCAACCAAATGTGTGCACACACCATGCTGCAACTGCTGGGCCACCTGTCTGTCCTCCCAACAGGACACAAGCTTCATGGGGGAAGGGACGGTCCTCATTCCCCATCGTGGGCTCAATGGCACATGACAGGTGCTTGATTAATAAACACTTTGGAAGGACTGAGTACCATGGTTACAGCACAGGCGTACCGGTTCCCCAGAGCCACAGTGCTGTGCTTTGCAAGTATTGTACCGTAGATGATCCCACTCACACTCTCAAAACAGGCATTCACCATCAAGCACAGCTAGGCTCCCGCTCTCCACTGTGGAGCTAAGGCCGAGGCGACGTTAGGAAGACGGCATGGCTCTTGCAATCTAGCCCTTCCAGCTGGACTAGCTGTGAGGTTTCGCTCTTCTCTAGGGGGCGGGTAAAGGGCTGCATTTGGAGAAGCCATCCAGAAGATACACATCTGGTGTCAGAGGCATCTGGGGCAGCCTGAGGCTGGTGACTGAGTGGGTGAAGCAGAAATCGCCTTGGCTGGTTGCCTGGTGAGGGAGGGGTCAGGCCAACAAGCAGGGCCCCGGCAGGGCTTGTGGACTCGCCAGAAGCTAAGGCCCTACTCTGGGCTGCCCTAGGGAGAGGTTTAGCTGTGAACCAGCCCCAGACTCTGCTCCTGAGCCTCCACTGCCTAGAGACATAGCCTCTGATCTGTCAGGAAGTGGGATATCAAATCAGGGTGGATGTGGGCCTGGGGCTTTTGGATGGCTTGTCCCCAAAGCACCATCTAGTTCTAAACCATACCCACAAGAGCCTGTGGGTCCCACTCTGGCTCCTGCACACAAACTTGAGCCACTGCTGCCTCTTCCAGGATGGCCTCCCAGCAGCACCAGCTGCTCCATCAGCGCACTGCACCACACCCCTGAAAGAGGGTACCATCCTTCTTTACACAGGATATATCTCGTACACTTGGCTGGCTGTGAAGGTGCACCGCAGGCACCACCTCTTCTCCTGCCCAGGGGAGCAGGGCCCCGTGTAGTCCCACAGCCTGGGTGTCACTGGATGGGGGGAAGGATCCCAGTAGGAAGTGACAGTGGCACCAAGGTGGGGAGGGCTGGTGCATCTGTAGCAGTGTAGGGACACAAGGTCCTGCTGGGTGCCAGTTCAGCCAAGGCCCTACTTCTGTGCCTTTCCAGGCCCCTCAGAAGCCAGCTGAAGCGTAGCCCCCCATCCATAGCCTCGGGGCCACAGGCGCCCGTCACTCGGGATGTCTGCCTTCCCAAGATGCGCCTCCCAGAACTTGCAGGGGGCGCTGGCCTGTCCACAGCCGCGCCCTCCTGGACCAATTCTGTACTGGATTCTGCAGTAGTTGCTCCATTTAGTTCTGTACTTGTCAGCATTGTGGGCAGGAAGCTGAGAGCTTCAGGTGGGCATCGGCCCCTCCCATCTCCTTCAGAGCTGGGTGTTCTTGGTGTAGATGGAGGCTGGTCCACGATCTCAGTGGGTGAAAGACTCCAGGCACACAGGGCAGGGTCGGTGGAAGACAGCCAGGCAGGCTGGCGCCTCTTGTGGGAACTGGCCACTGTGGCCCCGTCCCTCCTACCCTGACCCAAGTGTTGGGCCCTGTGAGGCCTGTGTCCCTTAGGGGTGGGGGTGAATCTAGAAATCGGGACTGTGTTCACTGTGCAGGGAGAAGGGAGGGAGGCTGTTTGGAAGACGGGGACTGTGGGTTCCGGGGTGAGCCAGCTGATAGGCTCCTTCTCCCATGGTCCAGTGAGGCAGTGGGGACACAGGAGAGGGAGTCAGTTCCCAGTCTAGAGAAGTGAAGTCCTAGCAAGGGTGTGGGAAGAGCCTTAGGTTTGAATTCCCAGGCCCACTTCCAGACCCTGATTTTTAAAAACTCCCTGGGCCTGGCCAACTTGAGGCTGCTGGGTGGGGCAGGGACACTGGCCAGAATGTCTCTGAGAGGTCTGGAGGGGTCTGGGCAAAGGGAGAACAGAGTGGGGAACTCTGCCTCTGCCCATTGCAGCCCAATGACTCTGGCAGACTCTGGTGGGAGGGAGGCAGCCGGCAGGACTAGGGAGGGGAGGGAGGGATTGGCCTCCCCTGCCAGCCGCTCGGCCCCGGCTTTATTGTGAGCAGGAGCAGCCGCAGCGACTCTCCACATGCTGGCCCTCCCGGGGGCTCAGTCTCCAGTAAGCTCCCGGCAGGCTGAGCCCCAGCCCTAGCACTGATGCTTGGCAGTGACCACACCTCGGGGGCCCTTCTCAGGACTTGTGCTGCTGGCTCCTGGGGCCTTCCGGCTTTTTGGGCGGTGGGGCCACCGTCCTCGGGGCATCCAGGGCCTGCCTCCGGATAAGCTCGGCGTACAGCCCGCCTTTCTTCAGGAGCTCTTCATGGGTGCCAGCCTGGAAGATGGGAGGGAGGGGCGAATGGTTGCTCCAAGGCGTGCAGGCTTCAGAACGTTCCGAGGGCTAAGCCTCTCTATCAGCCATTGGGCCCACGGTCACTTAGGCCACTCTGAAACCAATGCTCAATCTGAAAGGAACCGCCACTGGCATGCTGCATCAGTTACCGCCACTTCCCTACTTAGCTGAATTTTGGAAGAACATGATTCCCTGTCCCGCTTACAGAGCCCAAGGCTCCAATTCAGGATCCATCTCCCTGCACAAGCCCCTCAGCCTTGGCTTGAATGAGCGGCTGTGAACCAATGCCACACAGCCTCTGGGGTCCTACTTCTGACTCCCTGCACAGGTTCCTTGGCGCTGCTTCTTCTGCAACTGATACCCTGGGCAGCCAGCCCTGTTCCTCGCTCACAGCACCATACTCTTTCTGAGTATGTTTCCTTTTTGTTTTTTTTAGACAGGGTCTCATTCTGATGCCAGGCTGGAGTGCAATTGCACAATCATTGTTCACTGCAGCCTCAACCTCTGGGGTCAAGTAATCCTCCCGCCTCAGCCTCCAGAGTAGCTGGGAGTACAGGCGCATGCCATCACATCCAGCTAATTTTTTATTGGGTATTCTGTAGAGACAGGGTCTCACTGTGTTGCCCAGGATGGCCTCAAGAGATCCTTCTGCTTTGGCCTCCCAAAATGCTGGGATTACAGGCACCCAGCTAGTACTTTTCCTTTTGATCCTGGGAGCTGATAGTGAAACTATACTATCCCAGGGGACAGAGGAAGAAACTGAGGGCCTGAGAGGCCAGGGCTTGGCTGAATGCAGGAACTCCTGACTCTACATGGGATGCTGCTTCCAGAATACAGCCCCGAAGGCCCTGGGGCCAGGCCACACTTTCCTGTAACTCATTGCAGCATTGTGCCACTGTTCGTGATGAAGCCATCCTCAACCCACTGATCCACGCCCCCAGGACGACTAACCTCCCAGACACGGCCATCGGCCATGACGATGATGCGGTGGGCCCCACGGACGGTGCTGAGCCGGTGGGCAATTACCAGCACCGTGCGGCCTGCACTGGCCCGGTCCAGGGCCTCCTGCACAACCCGCTCAGACTCTGCGTCCAGCGCGCTGGTGGCTTCATCCAGTATCAGCACTGTGGGCTGCTTGATAAGGGCTCGGGCAATGGCCAGGCGCTGCTTCTGGCCCCCAGAGAGGGTAGTGCCCCGTTCACCTGGGAAGGGAGGGACACAGCAGGAGCCTGAAGCTGTGCACTTGAGGGTGGCCCACAAAGGGGCACAGGGTCCTTCCTGAACTCCCATCAAGATCCTCTAAGTGCCCCCCTCAGCACTGTGCACCCTCGTCCTTCCTCTGACCCCCACCCCGCACTGTGCACGCTTGTCCTGCCTCTGACTCCCTCACCCCGCACTGTGCACACTCCTCCTGCCTCTGACCCCCCACCCCGCACTGTGTACCCTCCTCCTGCCTCTGACCCCCCACCCCGCACTGTGCACACTCCTCCTGCCTCTGACCCCCCACCCCGCACTGTGTACCCTCCTCCTGCCTCTGACCCTCCTCCCGCCTCTGACCCCCCACCCCGCACTGTGCACCCTCCTCCCGCCTCTGACCCCCCACCCCGCACTGTACACCCTCCTCCCGCCTCTGACCCCCCACCCCGCACTGTACACCCTCCTCCCGCCTCTGACCCCCCACCCCGCACTGTGCACCCTCCTCCCGCCTCTGACCCCCCACCCCGCACTGTACACACTCCTCCCGCCTCTGACCCCCCACCCCGCACTGTCCACCCTCCTCCTGCCTCTGACCCCCCACCCCGCACTGTCCACCCTCCTCCCGCCTCTGACCCCCCACCCGCACTGTGCACCCTCCTCCCGCCTCTGACCCCCCACCCCGCACTGTGCACACTCCTCCTGCTGCTGGGTTGCCCCTGCACTGGCTCATCCCACCTCTGGGTCCCTCAGTCACTGTGCACACTTGCCCTGCCTCTGAGGGTGGCATGACACCTGCCAGCAGGGCTTGGTGCACTCTAAGGGAGTTGCCAAATGCCTCTCCCCAGCCATGGCAGTGCCTCAGGCCAGGATGACCCACACCCTGCCCTGTGCCTGCAGCTCCAAGCCACCTTCCCAGCCTCCCGGGTCTCTGTGGCTGTGGGGAACATCCAGCACCCAAACACGGGCTCTGGGGTCCAGCGACTCCAGGGAAGTGGGATTCGAAGCCCACAGAGGACAGCGTAAGTGGCAGCCTGGGAGCCAAAAAGAACCTCAAGGTGACAGCAGGGTGAGAGGTCAGTAAGGACGCAGCCCCAAGAAGGCCCAAATGAGCAGAAAGTACTA